ATTGAAAGGTTGCGTCAAAATAGGGTTGGATTTTATTGTTGGAAATTATTTCGTATCAATAGATTTCAAGGATATAAAGTCGGTATATATTATTGATTATAATTTGCATAACTATAATAATTCATTTAATTTACAGATACTTTGCTTAATTGGTTTACTCTATTTAAAATTATTGAAATATTTCAAATAAATTATATAATTTATAATTATATTATTTTATTTAATAATTAGTGTATTTACAAAGTTTTAAATTAATGTAAATAATTTATTGAAATAATTTACTAAAGTTCTAAACCCCAAATTATTGATGTTGTTTCATTGATAATATGTATACTTATTTGACCTGGGTCAACAGACTTATATGGTCTGGGGGATCAATAGCGACCTAATCCGCACATAACAAACACGTTCAATATGATTACCATTAGTCTCATAAAACCACCCTGTATATGTCGTTTGTTATTTTTATACATATTTACATAAGTATTTCAATTAAACTAGCAGGATAAACCTATGTTATTCATAATAGATAAATAGATAATAGATAAGTCGCTATATAATTGTATATTTATTTACAAAGTACGCATTGTAGATTAATAATATAGTAAATATTATTTGTAATGAAAATCAGCTTATATTACATGTGTTAACTTATGTGTCTACTAAAAATCGGTAATATTTGAATAATTTAACAATTATTTATAGACAAAGTTGACAACAATTGCTTTATATGATGACCTGATGATTAATATAGAATAAATATCATGTCATATTATTTATTATTTTAAATGATATATCAATTTCACATCATTAATAAATATTATTGAAATGTAGCTAAATCTAAAAGTATAAAACGATGAAAAACTGTAGCCTAATTATTATTATTATTATTAAAACAATTATTATTAAAACAAATAAATACAAGAAATAATGAATGTGCTAATTTTTAACATTTTATTCTCATTCTTAACATGTATGTATAAAATTAATTGAAGTTACTTATTAATTTACATTACATTACAATAAGTGCATAACGATATTCTATATTACCTAGTTCATCTAGTTACCACTTCGGATGTTTGCGGTAACGGTTGGGATCGATTTCAAGACGAATACTATGACATATGCTACAAATACTACCCTGATGGTCTGGGCGACTACGAGACAGTGGCCACTGCTTGCCGTGGGGACCAAAACTCATCCCTACCTACCATTAACTCTCGGGCAGAGCAGGACTTTCTCAACAAACTGATTGTCAAATACAAAATGGTTGACAGCGTATGGCTCGACGCGACCATTAAAGACAGACATATTGTTTGGGCGGACAGTAGTAGCGCTGAATATGAGAATTGGATTCCTGGCCGACCCGTTAATGATAGCAACTGTGTGGAAATGGTTCCCGACGATTCTAATCTGGGTAAATGGTTAGATAGGCCGTGCAACAAGAAAAACGCCTACATGTGTAAGCGAGTGGTTATTTGGTCGAGTCAGCGTACGGAGCGTTTGATCAGGGACAATCGACGGCTGCTGGACGAGTCAATGGCCAGAATCACTCAGTTGGAGTCGTGTCAAATACCGGACGGTTTCATATACATACAGTTACCTTACCAAGCGGCTCCGAGAACATTATGGCCTAAATGCGGTTGGTCGGATGTGACTTCAACATATGCTGGCGAGTTCTTTCGGGCCGAAGGGGGTGGTAGTCGCGGATTTGAGGCCGGCGTGCAATCCGCAGACTCACCGCACTTAACTAATATACATCGTTATGCAAACTCTGGCACTAGGTCACGTGATGATATTGATATTGTTCCCGGATATCGTAGCTATAACATAGAAACTGGTAACGATGAAGGTCCCTTCTCTACTGACTATTATCTAGATTTTTTGGTATCAAATGTTGAGGTGCGACCCCGTAATCAAGCCGTGCGCATTTTTAAGCGCGATTAAATTGATTTGTTTATTTAAATATAAACTTTGATTTGAATTATTAATAATAAAGAATAATTAACAAAATTTATTTTTTGTCTTATTTTAATCAAATATATTAATAAGTATATATTAATATATTAATAATATTATTAAAGAGATAAATATTTCCATAGAGACATGTTATGTAATGATTGATTATATTGTTTGTGTTGACATTCACTCTGTCTTTCATATATTAAATGCAACGAAATTCCAACGCATTTTTATTATGTTTAATATTGTCATTTATTGTGATTCAAAATAAATCAACGTCACATTTATTTACAATTTATTATATTTTACATATAATTTTAGTAAAATTTATATTTAGTGTATTCATGGAAATGTTCACAAAATATACAAAAGACTCAATGAATAGGTTTGGCGACGATTTGTGTGAAGTATTGTTGAGTTATCTGTCATTTGAGAACCGATTCCGGTGTGAATGTGTGTCCAAACAGTGGCAACAATTGATATTTACAACACAGACAACTCTCGATATAAATACCCGTCGGTATAGATTGTACGGAAAGCGCATAAACTATGGTATCGTAGAGAATGTATTGAGAAAGTGTACAAACATTACAACAATTGAATGCACCAAGGTCAATCAACAGGCAATTAATCAACTCTTGATATTATTTACCACGTATTCCCATAACTTAACTACAATTAGCGCAAATTTTAACGAATGCATAAACACTGATAATATGGATATATTTTTCACCATGTTCGCCCACCAATTGACAATCATTAAAACAGTGATTCAATATGATTATGATAACATGTGGCCATATTTAAAGCAATGCTTTAGGTTATTAGAATATCCACATGTTAGATATTTATTCAAATTTAATGATAATATGTTTGTCGACAATAATAAGCCGGTATTTACTAAACTTCATAAATACAGCATTTATTACAGGCGTTGGGAAACACAAGAAATGGATTTATTTGTTAAATGCTATAAAAACACATTGAAATCAATGGATATCGTTATTGACAAGTATTGTACAGTAGAGTCATTGGAGATACTGATGACTGGGTTGACACAAATGCATGCATTAATTGAATTACAAATAGAGTATTACTATTGCGACGACCCGTTGATGGCGTTAATGGCCCGACATTTGCGGCAATTATTTCGTGATTTACCAAAACTTAAAAAATTTACATTAAATTACGATCACTATTACGACGAGATAGGGTTGAGTGAAATACGTACAACAATTAGCGATTGTTTCACACAATTAAAACGACTGGAAATTCACGGCCAGTTTACCCGATCATTGTTTGCCTGCAAACAATTAACGCATTTAAATCTAACCTTAATGAATTGCGAAATCACATTGGAAAACTTTGCTGATTACCATCAGTATTTCCCAAAACTCAAGTATTTAAATCTCGGTTACGTTGACATCCCGTGGCCTGTGTTGGAGTCGTTGGCAAAACACCCGACACTACAATCCGTAACCGATATGAGAACCGCAAGAAATCTCTTACAACACTATAAACAGAATTGCGTTAAAGAATATTCTGTTGACAACAATAATAGGGAAATGACATACAGTTTTAAAAGTTGTGTTAATGAACCGGACTTTGATTTATTTGCATTCGATATACAATTATAACTTAATTACAACTAAACCAAGTATTTGTATAACCAATTATGCAAAATCAATAACATATTAATAGTATATAAATTACAATACTTTGTGCTGAGCTTTATAAGTAACATTTTGCGGCACATTAAGGCATTACTGTATATAAATATTTTAATTTAGTTCAAATAAATATACAATAGTTTAATATAATAATTATGTATATAATTAAAATAACATCTAATTGATAATAAAATATTTAATGTACCGATAATTATGAAATGTTCATTATGGTCGTAAAAACTTTTTAAAATAATTATTGTTTAATATTTCTATTTGTAAGTTTGTTACAATCCTTACAACCAGTATTGGACTGATTGGTGTTATTCTGAAAATGTTGAATGTTGAAAATGTTCTAAAAATGTGTTATTTTGAGTCTTATTTAGTTTTAAGTTAAGAACAGGTATACTATCGACGACTCAAATCTCAGTCATCATTAATTTGACAGTTATTAATAGTGCTTGAGTTAACTCCGATCACAACTAACTAAATCACAATTTGTGATTCACAACCCTTTGACAGTAAACATATTATTTATGAGCTAATTAATCTCATAACAATAATAATGATAACTATGAATATTTATGCGTAAACAAAGTACTCAAGAAATAGATCAAAGTGGATTATAATTTTATTAAAATAATAATGATTAATTTAATAATTTTATTTAATGTCAACAATGATTTTATATATTTGTGCATTAATTAACAAAAATTATTTATAAAATTTGTTGAATTAAAAAATGTGATACCTATTTATATCTTGACACTTGTTAATAACTATTGAATAAATTTATTTTACATGTCAATAAAATGTTATATTGTTATTGTTAATTCTATGACATACTATTTGAAAACTAAACATTTTATCTCAAATAATAAAAATTAAATATTGTCAGAATATCATGAATTTTATTTACCATGATTAATATCTCTTTGAGATGTTGTGATGCCATTCATCTAATAAATTGTTGACTAGACTTGTAAAATCTGTCAAATACAGATCATCATATAATATGGATTTAATATTTATGATAAATAAATAGAATAAATACGATCGACTGTATAAAAAACAATAATTATTATTATTTCAATAACTATTTTATATTTACAAATAATTTTTGAAAATAAAAAATGTATATGATATATTTAGCAATTTTGGTTTCATATCTTACATGTATGTAAACCTCTTTGACGATCAGTTTATATATTTTTTGAGGCGATCAGCATTTATGGTTAATATTATAGCATAGTTTTTTAGGGTGACCATACGACTTCAATTTAGAGGATCGCTTATTTAATTTACATTTAACATGACAGTGTTAATGTAACTAATTCTGTCATACAGTATAACATCTTACATTACAGTAATATGACATGTAAATTTTAATATAAAAATTTTATATTACAAAAAGTGTAATATAGCTCTGGCGCCATCTATTGATTAGGCAATTATGATATTGTATCTAAGGCTATTCTTTTAAATGTTACTTGAAACACAATTAAAAGTGTGTTTCGATAATCTATTAGTAAAACAAATGGTGATTTTATTGTGAATTTAGCTATGATTTCTAAATTATCATTATTCAAGCAAAATATTAATTTTCTATATTACACTCTGTGGCGTTATGACGTTATATGACTTTAATATGTAATATAAAAATCTATATATGTATTATACATCACTACACAAAACTCCTTAGACAGCCTTTTTAATTAAGCATTACGAATAAACATGCGATAACTTTCCTATCTAATAAAAATATACATTACATAACATAAAATGAATTAAAATAATTTTATATTTTGTGAATCATCTGAAAGACTAATTAATTGTCAACAGTTTATAAATTCTATTACTAAAAACATTTCAATTGTTATCTATATTTTTAAAGTATGCTTTTTGGTCATCCTAAGTGTCTGGTAAATTTGGACGTGCCATAAATGACGGCCGCCTAAAAAAATATATAAACTGATCGTCAAAGAGGTTTATATATTTTATTGAATAACTATTAAAATAACAAATTTTTCTAAAATTGCAAGCTATTAATGTAACTATTTACTATATTTATTTAGGCCACCTAGTTAATTCGGAGGGCGTTTGTGGTGACGGTTGGGACCAATTTCACGACAAATACTACGATATATGCTATAAGTATTTCACGGAAGGGTTAGCCGACTACCAGACTGTGGTCACAGCGTGTCGGTCAGAAAATGACTCATCACTTCCGACCATTAACTCAAAGTCAGAGCAGGACTTTATCAACAAATTAATTGTCAAATACAAAATGATTGACAGCGTATGGCTCGACGCGACCATCAAAGACAGGCACATTGTTTGGGCGGACAGTACTTACGCTGAATACGACAACTGGGTCTACGGCCGACCCGTCAACAATAGCATATGCGTTGAAATGATCACAGATAACACTAATAGCTTGACTACAGCCAACATGGGCAAATGGCAAGATGTAAATTGCGCAAAGAAAAATGCGTACATGTGTAAGCGTGTAGTAATGTGGTCGGACCAGCGTACCGAGCGTTTAATCAGGGACAATCGCCGGATGATAGACAAGTGGGTAGCGAGAATGACCCAAAACGAAGCCGAGTGTCATTTGCCAGTAGGGTTTATATATGTGCAGTTACCAAACCAGGTCGAACCCAATGTATTGTGCCCTAAATCCACCTGGTCAGATGTGACGACCGAATATGCGAGCAATGGAGACAAAAACAGCCATCCGAGTTTCCATGATCAATTTTTAAAGTTTATGGTCCAGGCGGGTGAGGTACGGCCCCGCAATCAGGCGGTCCGAATTTTTAAACGTACCGCATAAAAATGCGTGTGAAATATGGGTTAAACAAGTAAATATATGCACATATTTATTAAACAACAATGTGCAGTTTGGCTATTTAATTAATGCAGTAAAAGTATTTTGGTCCAGAGATGTTTCTGTTCAAAAATTACCGAAATATAATAAATAATCAATTTATTATCATGTACGAAAAACTTTAAAATTAAAGATTTATTGCAATAAACCAAAATAATACAACCAAATAAAAATAATTTAATATGATTAGTTTTTGCTTGGACAATATCTGTTATAGTAAGATTGTCAATATTCAATAAGCCTGTCTCCAACATGATTATTAGAAATTATATTTTGGGAATTTGGAATATTTTTTTAAGGTTTAACCCAAAATATTTCACCATAATTTAACACATGTTTTAAATAAAAATATTTTTACAAGACATTTGAATTTATAATTTATTTATTGGTATTCATTTTTAGTTATCCGATAATCTCATATTCATAACATCAATTATAGCAGGAACTAAATATACCCTACAGAACAATATATTGTTTCCGAAGCACATCAGCGCCGGTACACAACCAAAGCTGACATCTATAGCCTGGGAGTGATTGCACAGCATTTACTTTTAATTTTATAAATATATTTTTGCTACAATTAATTATAATAATTTTCATTTACATGAATTTAAGCGATTGTACGATATGTTTGTTTGCGTACAAATCATTGACGATAAATGAATTATAAATAATAGGGTTAACAGGTATTAAATTGTTTCGCAAATAGTGACAAAATGCTGAGCTTTTCTATGTAATGATAGATATATTAAACAACTCAATGAACCGCTAATTAATATTAATATTCATTAATCTCAAGAAATAATTCATTTAAATTAAAAATTGTTAGAACTAAATGTCGGTATTTTGTTTTCAAGTGATTTTTAATAATCAATTTATTTAGTGACAAAAATTTTAAAGATAAATAATACTATAGGGATGAGTACCGGCGCGGGCTATCACCAGACAATGTGGCAAAACTTTTTCAGTTTTGATCACACAATTATTTTCAACCATAATGTTTAAAACAATACGAGCTTAAACTTACTAGATATAATGTTGACTAAAAATATTTGTTATTGTACATTTAATTAGAATAATAATACAAAATTACTTTTAATTATCTATTATGAGACAATGAATTTTATAATAATAATAATGATAACTATAAATAGTTATGCGTAAACAAAGTACTCAAAGAAATAGACCAACGTGAATTATAATTTTATTAAAATAATAATGATTAATTTAATAATTTTAATTAATATTTATAAAACAAAATAATAAACATAATTATATTATATAATTATTTAATATCTACAATAATTTTAAATATGTATGCATTTATTAACGAAAATAATGTATAGAATTTACTAAATTTCAAAATGTGATAACTGTTAATATTTTAACACTGTAATTAGCAATTAAATGGATTTATTTTACATGTCAATTGATTTGTTAATTCTATGACATAATATATGAATTTGAGAATTAAACATTTTATCTCAAATAATAACAGATAAATATTGTCAGAATATCATTAATTTCATTTACCATGATTAATTGAGATGTTGTGATGCCATTAATTTAATAAATTGTTGACTAGACTTATAACATCTGTCAAATTGTGATCATCATATAATATGAATTTAATATTTATGATAAATAAATAGTATAAATACAATCTATACAAACACAATAATTATTATTATTCAATAACAATTTTATATTCACAAATAATTATTGAAAATTAAAAAATGTATATGATATATTTAGCAATTGTGGTTTCATATCTTACATGTATGCATACATATTATTAAATAAATGTTAAAATAACAAATTTTTTAACCTAAATTAAAATTGCATCCTATTAATGTAACTATTTACTATATTTATTTAGGCCACCTAGTTCATTCGGAGGGCGTTTGTGGTGACGGTTGGGACCTCTTTCACTACGAAAACGACAACATATGCTACAAATACTACCCTGATGGTTTGGGCGATTACCACACAGTGGCCACAGCGTGTAAGGGGGACCTAAACTCGTCGCTACCTATCATTAACTCTCAGGCAGAGCAAGATTTTCTCAATAAATTAATAGTGAAATACAAAATGATTGAAAACGTATGGCTCGACGTAACCATTAAAGGCAAACACATTGTATAGACGGACAATAGTAACTCTGACTATGAAAACTGGTTGGCCGGGCGACCGGCCAACGAAAGCAACTGTGTGGAAATGTTGACTGACCAGGTTAGCATGGGCAAGTGGGAAGATATACCATGCGCCAAGAAAAATTCTTACATATGCAAGCGTTTTGTGGCATGGTCGAGTGAACAAATGGAGCGTGTGATCAGAGAAAACAGTGTCCAAATTGCACTTTTACAAAACTGTCCATTGCCCATAGGTTTTATATACGTACAGTTGCCGGGTCAGGCCGATCCGAAAACATTGTGGCCAAAGTCCACCTGGTCCGATGTGACATCCGTATATGCGGGTCAATTTTTTCGCGCAGAAGGTGGTGGTAGCTTAGCATTTGGCGCCGGAGTGCAGCCTGGTGACGCGCCCAAATTGGAGCATGTTCATGCTGAATATAATGATGGGATGAATCG